GTACGATAACCAACCAAAATATCAATGTAAGTTGGCTTTGGAAAATAAATTTTTTTGGCACGAAAATTGAGTTACAATATAATTCATTATAGTGAATTGCGTAAGTAATTATATGTTAACTTTTTTGAGATACTTTTACAATTCACATATAATATAATCACTTATATAATTTATTATAATCAATTATATTACACATCTATTTTTGTGTCAGAAAGTTTATTTTTTTAAATCAAGTCGAACTGCTTTTCTGTCAGCTACCCCAGATTCTTTTTCTGGAATCCAGGGTAACCAAACAGATCCTAAAGTCGAAACAAATGTTGAGAAAAATCAATTTCCATTGAGAAGGCATTCTTTCAAAACAAAGCCACAGGAAAACGCAGCCTATTCCTTTTCCCATTTTAACCGAAGTTCTTCCTATCCTTCTTTCCAACTCATCTCAAAGTAAGTTGAAGAATTATAAAAGAAGGCAAGGATTTCCACAAAGTATGCAAGATAGAAAGGAAATTCCTGAATTATGCTGCAACCTTGAAGTTTCAAAATGGCCAAGATGCTGCATTTTACCATGAAATCAGAGAGCTAGACAAAAATGGAACATTGTTTGGTTGCTATTTCATGGATCTTGAGTTTGAATTGTACAATGAGAGGTAACTTTCTCTCACCTTTTAACTCACTAATTAATTCATTTACTTGTATGTTATGTAATTTGAACTAATGTATCTTTTCCTTTTATTGAAAGGAAATTACTATTAAACTAGTTAAATGGTTTACCTTTTTGTTTGTTAATGCTTGGGTTTTAAAAAATTCATTGTTAATGCTTTTTTGCACATTTTAGCTGCACTGCCACCATTCCATCCCCAGTTTTACTCTACTGATTTGTTCATACCTCACAAGTCAGGTGCTTCATTTAAATCACCGTCCAAATAGGATAAATATTAGATTGGGTTTGTCCCAAATTTCAGAATAATGAGGAAAAACAACTCTAATTTTTTTTTTTTTCATTTTTTGGGTAAATAGCATTAAACATAAAAGAAAGGAAACGGATCAACATATTCTAGGGAATTCAATCCCTATAATATCAGCACTACGGCCATTTTAACAGATTCTGAAACATTTTCAAACGAACAATAATCTTGATCAATGGAATGTCCTAGCTTTGCCATCTGATTGGTAGCCATATTTGATTCATGGACAATTTGAGAAATCTTAACATGCTGGAACTTCTGCAACAACTCCCTCCAATCCTGGGAGAGAGAACTAAGCGCATGACAAAGGGAAGCATTATCAAGCAACTGAGTGGCCACTAGAGTCAGTTTCGATCATAAGATTCAAGAACCCTTAGTTATAGCAATGTTCATTCCATCCCTAAGAGCTCACAGCTCAGTGGCAAGGCTATTTATTGAAAATCCTGCATGTGGGCTCAACACAAGGCTAGCATCCGACCTAAAATTAATTGGCAATAGGTGGAGTAACCCTCCTTTTATTTAACCCACAAGCTTATTATTTTTATACTTGATGTGGGATTTTCTCACTTAACACGCCCCCTCATGTGCAGGTCTGCTATGAATGTTGGGTCTTGTCACGTTGGTTAACACGCCCCCTTAATTGCAGGCCGGTATCAACTTCGGGTCTTGTCAGGTGGGCTAACAACGGGCTTTCTAGGGCAGAACTTGGGCTCTGATACCATATTAAAAACTGTGCATGTGGGCTTAACACAAGGTTTGCATCCAACCTAAAACCAATTGGCGATAGGTGGAGTAGCCTTCCTTGTATTTAACCCACAAGTTTCTTATTTTTATACTTGATATGGGATTTTCCCATTTAACACGCCCCCTCACGTGCAGGTCCGCTATGAATGTCGGGTCTTGTCACGTGGGTTACACCTCCTTTAAATACAGGCCCGGTAACAACTTCGGGTCCTGTCAAATGGGCTAACACGGGCTTCCCAGGGCAGAACCTGAGCTCTGATACCATATTGAAAATCCTGCATGTGGGCTCAACACAAGGCTTGCATCCAACCTAAAACCAATTGGCAATAGGTGGAGTAGCCCTCCTTGTATTTAACCCACAAGCTTATTATTTTTATACTTGATGTGGGATTTTCCCACTTAACATATTAGAGAGATCGATTTTCCTAGCAAACCCAAGGATCCATAGCCATAAAAGTCCTTGAACAAGCCTCCTCCTACTTATGGTCCACGATTTCCCAGTGCTAAGCCATCCGTATTGAGCTAGATGAAGGGCTTTCATGGTTTGGACCACTTAAAGCTCACAGTGTGGTGCTGCTGAGGGATGCAATAGGGGATACTAGCCCAAAATTCAGTAGCTTTCTCCAAGATGAGAGGTTTAGATGTGGTTTGAGCATAGGTTAAAACCCCTTTTTGGTCCCTGAACTATTGTACGGACCCTCGATTTGGTCCTTGAACTAAAAAAATCCCTGATTTGGTCCCTACTGTTTACCATTTTT